CACACACACACACACACACACACATCATACTGCTCATTTTAGCATTATGGACCCCAGAGAAATGCTCCAAAACATGCTCATTGTGTGTTTTTGCGCCACATTTAAGAAGCAGCATCTGCTGTACTGCATGAGTACCTTTCTGCTGTTATGCCCCCTTTAGCACTTGCTTTTATCTTTTCTCACTAACGTCATGTGCATGGGAAATAGTCCTACGCTGTTCAAAGTGCATTGCAAGTACCTTTTACCATGGGGAGAAAGATGAAATTGAAAGAAACACATTATCTTTATCTCTTCAAAAAAAAAAGAAAACAGGTAATATGACTTATATATAGATAAATAGACGACCCCTCTGGATGTGTTTTTAGAGAAACATCCCTATCACATTTAAACTGCCGTATCAGAGGCACTTGTGACTGGAGTTATAGTCCTTGGAAACTTGCCTTTTGAAAGACTCAAACAGAAAACGGGAGCAGAAGCTCTGTCCCTGGCTCACTGCATTCTAGTAGGGATGTGAGGAGTGATAGATTCAGCAGTATGCACATGGAGAATAAATGAGAGTTGATGTGAAAGGTGAGCGGGATTGTTCAAAGTCCTAATGACTGTCCCTTGTTGACCTGACAGAGTCGTATCAGGAGAATGTGGAATGACACCGTAAGAAAGCAATCTGAATCCTCCTTTATCTCAGGTGACATCAACAGCACCTCCACCCTTAACCAAGGTCAGTTCACACCTCATTTCTCTCACACCTATGCACACATTTCATCATCCAGCTAAAAATACACCTCTTTCAAGTTCCAATGATCTCACACGGCAGTAGAGGATCTCACTCCGGTAATCAGAACAGATGTCTTCAGCTTGAAAAGACAGAGCAGGAAAGCGAAGAAAGAAGATGAAAAAAAAAAAAATTTAGTCTAGTCTCTCTGTTCTGCCAGTGGAGGATTACAAAAATCCGTACTCAAAAACTGTGTGCTGTCTTCCTGGCCGGTAACGTCACTCTCAAATTGGGACAAGGCTAGATGATAGTTTTTTTTTTCTCTAAGTGCTGACTGTCCTAAGTTCATACCAGGACTCAGGGGAAACAGACAAAACACAACAAAAAAATTTAAAAATGTAAAAAAGGGGCGGGGGGGGGAGTTTATTTTAGGGGAAATCTGAACACGCAGAGAGGCCATTTGTTGCCTGGCATATAAGGTGACCTTTGTTACTTCAAGGGAGGGAGGGAGCAGAAAAAAAGCTGTCATTTATTATTTAGCTTGAGCACAAATATGATGATGAGAAGATGATGTTCAACTCTAGATGACCCAGAGTGCTTAGCGTGTTGTTAGGCTTTCTGCTGCAGCTGAGATGGCTTTCCATGCATGCAAGGGTAAAGAGGGTTTACAGCGAGGTAGTTTAACGCACTCCTGTCCCTGCTGCTCTATGCCTCCTCTTTCTTCTTTAGCTGTCACTCCCCACAAAATATAACATTGCACCTCAGGCATTAAGGCACATTGTTACTCGCTGAATCATCTGTAACAATACAGAAGAAGGACTTTTATTTTATTTTGGGGCTTTTTGCCTTTATTTGAGAGGACAGGGGAATGACATGCAGAAAAAGGAGCCACAGGTTGAACTTGAACCCAGGCCTCCTGCTTACAGGACCATAGCCTCCATACATAGGGCGCGACCTAACCACTAGGCCATCTGCGCCCCGGGACTTTTTTGTAAATGCTTCCTGGAGATGTTAATGTAGAGGTTTGGTATTGATCACTCCGGGTGTAGCAGCCTAGTTACCCTGTGGAGTTGGTGCACTAAAGGAGGGCTCTATCTCCTGGAAGCACTTCCCTGTCATTAAAAACATCCCTGGAGACCTCCCAACATGACAGATGGCATTTAACACAGGTGATAAATGGCAGCTGAAGTGCCTCAGATCTTTAAAACATACTGCTGAAACTGAAAGGAAGATAAGGTTTGGAAGGAAACGCACACATTTGAATCTAAATAAAGAATTAGATAGAACAACTAAGAAGGATTCTGCTTTTTGTTTAAAGAGAGGTTTGGACTAAATCCCATTTAAAATACACAACAGGCTTTAATCAACAAATAATGCTGCCAAAAAAAGGAAAATGAAATATGACTTGTGAAATTCCCTGGTGACAGGTTCCTTTAATGAGCTTAGTTGGTTAAAAAAGTGTATAAAAATAAACAGCTTTTACATGATCTACAAACCAGGAAACAAATGAATTTGAAGGCTGAAAAGCCGTGACCTCAAGCTTTTAATGAGAGGAAGGCTGGCAGAAGACAGAAAAAAAAATATTTTTAGCACATCAGAAGGATTTCTTTTTCCTGCTCGCTGTATCTCAGACATTTTTTCTTTATTTTTAAAATCTAATATAGATAACCCCCCTTCAGATTTTTGCATACATCTATACCTGGAAAAAACACCTAAAAAACAAAAAAATGTCCATCTCTTTTCTTCATGTAACTTTCATTCACTGTCTCCAAACTTATCTGCTCCTTTCTGTCTTGCCACTGCAGGAATGACCGGGAACTATCTACTAACAAATCCTCTCCTTCGACCACAAGGCACTAACAACCCTTATAACACCTTACTGGCTGAGACAGTCGTATGTAACACCCCCACGGCTCCAGTGTTTAACTCGCCAGGTGTGCTTACTTGATTCTTTCAAGTGCTTTCTTCTTTTATTCTCTCTTCTGTTCTCTCTTTGTCTCTTTAGTTGAGTTTAAAACAGAAAGGAAAGCAGGATGTTCTGCAGTATCGCCTCTCCCTCTGAGCCATTGTCCCCCCTCTACACAGGATACAGACTGTGCATGTTTGTGTGTCGCACATAGACAGTATATTTGTGTGTCTGTGTGTGTGTGACAAATGCGCATGTTTTCATGTAAGACGGAGATGTTTGTGGTTGGTCTCGATCCAGCCGGCGCTCTCATGTTTCTCTTATCCAAACTGAGAGGGGGACACAATGATTAAGATGGTGAAGAGATACTGCATCGTCTGCCTTCAGATAATGTAAACAGGGGGTGTAGAGCTGAAGCTGTAGTATAAACGGAGAGATTATTAAGATTTATGATCTGAATTTATCAGCTCATTTTTGTGTTTGTGAGGCAGTTTTCTGTGTAAAACCTCAAGCTAAATGTATGGTCCTAAATTCAGATCTCCCGTCTGCAAAGAAGGTGTCTTTTGTATGGATATTTTTGTAGATAACAGATGCAGAAAAGAATGAATTCCAGTTACTCATGTCATTTTAACATATCATGTTTACTCTGAAGCTGAAATTGCATCGTTGTGATGTTTTGTGCTCTCCCCTTGTGCTTCCTCTAGTGACCTACAGAGAGACAAGTATGGGAGTAAAACTTAACTTTGCCTATCAAATGTAAATTTTTTTCAGCATGCTTATTAAAAAAACAACCAAAACACCCCCTCCGGCACAATCACTGGTTTACTTTAGGCCATTAACACACTCAGTGAGCAAGTGGTTCACAAAATAATCAACCTAAATTCTCCTCGTTTGAGGAGAAAGGAAAGATTTCCTGAGATATTTGAAGTCATCTTCAGGATCTGACAGCTTGAAACACAACTCTGCTTCTCTCTCTTTGGCTTGTTATTTTAACCAACCCTAAAAATGTGTTGCTTTTTTTCTCTGGCATAAAATAAAATTTATCAGAGAAGTTTATTGTTTTCTTTCTTTTTATCCCAAAATGCCTGCCCTGCTGTGGCTTTCAGCACACTCAGTTTCCAGTACTATTCCCCTCACACCTCTGGACAATAAATTGCTTCCTAGCAGGCATAAACACATGGGTGTCATGGCAGCAGCTGTGTAATTCTCCCCTATTTTCTTTTTTATTCACAAAGTTTTTGTCATTCATTTCTAAAATACCTGTAAAAACAGCCCCTATAACCTGCCTCCAAAGATCACAATGACTCCCCTGTTTTTGGACAAAGACAAACGTCTCTGAAAAATATCCCAGCAGTCTTTAACCTCATTTTTTACTCCTGTTGTTCTATCGGGAGGCATGTTAGTTGAAGCAGATCACATTTTTCCTTTATCTGCTCTCTCAATCATGGCATAACTAACATTATCCCTGTTTGCTGCTGTTTTCCATGACCTCCATGTGTAGAGAAATTCCTAACATGACTGCGTCTGACCTCTGCAGCGGCTGTGTTATTCTTCAGCCGTACTGCTAGCGACCGGGGTCTCGCTGGGAACTGTCACTGTGACGGATGCCAAGTGCTGGGCTGCGGGCAAGCTCTGACCTTTGCCAGCTTTGGGTACACAAGCTGCCCGCTAATGGTCAGAAAGTGTACCAACACAAACAAACAAAAACGTACAAAAAAGGAGCCTTTGGCATTTGTTTATAAAAGTAGAAGCTATTTGAATGCTTATTTGTTTCTTTGCTGAACCCTTGCTCTCGCTAAGTTGCAGACTTTTACTTTGTGTTTTGTTCTTTTAAGTGATTTTCCTTCATGTTACAATAAATCATTTTACTTTCTTTTGTACATCAGCTGCTCTTAGACCAGATAGCCTGAGCAGACAGACATGATGTGAGTTGTCTAAAGTGAGTCTTTTCACCTGCTGTGTGTGGTGATGGTGGAGTGCTGCTTGTGGGCTCCCCTTGTAGTGAGAACAAAGATGGCTGTCCCATGTTAATACATGACAACTTTCCCTTTCTATCCATGTCATCTTTTCCCATCTCTTGTCCTTTTTATTTTCCTTGGCACATCCAACCCTATTAGTTGCTAGAAAAAACCTGTAAGTGTTGTAGCTTGCCCGTTTGTGGCTTCATACCTGTGAACATCTACTCTTGCCTGATGTGTTGTGATGGTGATTACTGTTCCAGTGCGTTATTTAATGTTGTTTGGGATCCTTTTCATTGCTTTGTCACTTTCGTGGCAGACTAAAACGTGCACACTGTGCTCTGCTTCTTTCTAAGAAAGGGAAAGTCTTAATGTATACATGAGAAAGTAAAATGAAATCTCATTGCTATGATGCATGCATATGAACTGTATGTTGAGGATTGTGCCTAACTCACAGATCTATGGCATGGCCTAAATTAACTGAAGTCTTCTATGTGAAGTGCATCCTAAACAGCATTAAAGCCTTGTTTCTTTATTCAACGATTATTATTATGGACTAATGTTAACTCCCCTCACATGTTCCTCTCTTTGCAGGGCACTCACTGAACAACGTGGTGAGGGATACAAGTGCAATGGATACACTACCGCTAAATGGTAACTTTAACAATAGCTACTCTCTTCGCAACGGGGACTTTGGCGACAGTGTTCAGGTGGTAGACTGCGGCCTCAGTCTGGACGATGCTGCCTTTGAGAAAATGATAATCTCTGAGTTAGTACACAACAACCTGCGTGCCTGTAACAAAAGCCACCAACAGCAACAGCAGCAGCACCCCAGTTTACATCATCCACCCCACCACCAGCAGCACCCGCAGTACCACCATCACCACCATACGGAGCGGGCTCCGCCAAAGGTGACGGTGGTGGGAGGCAGCAGCGAAGACGACGCTATTGTCGCAGACGCTTCGTCTTTGGTGCATGTGGGTGACACGGTGGGCCTCGAGCTGCATCATCAGCGAGAGCTGGAGGCCCCGCTCATCCCCCAGCGGACTCACTCACTTCTGTACGCTCCCCAGAAGAAGGTGAGAACCGATGGGGGAGTCGAAACCTTTGTCAGCCAGCTGACGCCCACCAACCCCGACGACAGTCCGCAGTCCCCAAACAGAGACTCTTTGTACACTAGTATGCCTAATCTGAGGGACTCTCCGTTACCCGAGAGCAGCCCTGATGTGGTGGAGGACCTGTCCCCCTCCAAAAGGAGCGAGAACGAGGACGTTTACTACAAGAGCATGCCTAACTTAGGAGCAGGCCATCAGCTACAGGCCTATTACCAGATAGGCCGAGGGAGCAGTGATGGTTACATTATTCCTATCACTACAGAGGGCTGTATCCCCGAGGGTGATGTACGGGAAGGACAGATGCAGCTAGTGACAAGCCTTTAAATGTATTTAAATAATCCCCAATCCTGCCCTTTTGCAGCCCTGACCTTTTGAAGGACACACTAGTACAGGGAGGGAAAGTGTTTGTTTTATTTTTTAAGAGATCCTAGAACCCCCGTCTAACACACTTGTCATTTACAAACCCTCAGCTGCACCTCCATCTCCTTTTCCCCGAAACAATGCCACTCTTCTTTACTTCCTTGCAGACTTGGTGCACAGTGACGGCAGTGCAAAGATTCAATGAGACTGTACATAAAATGCAGAGTTGAATTCAATTTTAAGAGACAAGCCAACTATGTATTAAATGTGCTGCTGCTGTTGAATTATTGAGAAAAATTTAAGGTACAAAAATAAAAAAAATACAAAATAAAAAAAAATCATTACTGGCTACATCAGATCAGCAATCTCCCAGTGAAAAGGTTGTACATACACTCCCCAACATCCTCTTCAAAGCCTGTTGTTTTTTTTAAAATTGTGAACAAATCAAACCCCCCTGGGCCAGGACGTGGACTCTGTAACATGTTCCTATCAGACTGTTAGAAAAGGAATAGGAGATCCTGTTTGCCCAGCGTCGCCCTCCATCACCATGAAGTTCGGATTGTATAACCACTAGCAATCAAGCCCCTGGCCTTATATTTTCTCAACTGTACATTGAACTGTTGTCAAGGAAAATGGCTAAAATATATATTTTGTTGTATTGCTAGTGTAAAATAAAAAATCATGGGAAATCGTAAATATGAAGAAACCTTTTAATTAAAAAGTGTAATGTTGGAGAGACTATTGTGTAGAAGTTGCACATATGTTATACAGTGTGTTTATGGTTCCAACACGTCATCATGGTAGTATGTTTGAGCTTATGGAAGATTCAACTGATTACAAAGATGCATTATCACTTTTTTCCACTTGTGAGCAGTGTTTTTTTTTTTTTTTGCTTAATGAGTTTCATTGATATCGCCCGTTAAATTATGTCTATTTGATTTTGCCAAAGTATCAGAACTTTAAAAGAATGGGAATGCAAATCCCCAGTTAAAGTGATTTATGCATTGCACAGTTTTTTTGTGTAACTCTGAATGAAATAGATCTTTTAACAGTCATAGCAGAGGGATGGGCGAACATACATGAAACCGACTTTTGACAATAAAGTTTCTATCATAATGTAGTTCTTCCGCCTGGGTTTTGACATTTTATTTATTGAAATCTTTCCAAAAAAATGAATGGGAAATGTGTGAATATTTTCCAGCACTGGTATACATGCTGTACTGTAGCTCATGTTTTCTATGTAAACATGTTACCAATGGGCTCATCACTTAAGACTGATGTAAAGTTCAACACTTGTTTAACAAATAAAATAAATGTGAGAGTTTTTGTCAATTGCCAGTTGCTTTTCAATGCTTTGTGTTTTTGGTACAACAAATGCTTTTGCTATGGACAGAAGACACTTTTGACTCAGGTTATTAGCAAGTCCCGAGCACCTTAAGAGGTCAATTGATTGATTTTCTTTTTGTTCTGTTTTTTTTTTCTTTTCTTTCTTCAATCACTGCAGAGTAGAGAGAGCTCATTTCACCGTGTGTGTTAGAGAAGCCAAACCTTTCCATGTGATTCAAAGATGAGAAACTCAGGTAGGAAAAATTACTCTGTAAATGTTCCTCTGTGTGGCTGTAACACTAATAAAGGTTCGAAAATGACACTGGTTCACAGCATTGTCCGCTTAGTATATTATTGAGTAAGCTGGCACGATTAAGAAGCCTGGAACTACAGGAATCTTGTCAAATGCTGGATGTAAAGCCGTGTGGGCATGGAAACTATTCCAAGGACCTAACAAGAGGTCAATGTTACACTTGGCTGCGGTTATAGAAATATATTACACATAATATGTCCGAGTCTGACACATATTTGCTCTAATTAATGTCTTCTGTCGCTGAAGCCCACAGTCACTTCTTGGACGGTTTATGCCTCAGGTAATGCTAATTTATGAAGCGTTTTAATATCACACCAGTCGAGGCAGAGTGGCAGCTCTCAGCAGGGTGGCTGGAAATTTTACTGTACTACCATTTTGGCATTGGAGGAAATGACTCAGAACTGAGCAGAAATGACATGAGATGTCAGCTGGTGCACAGAATGCTGTGTGGGCTGTGTGCTGTTTTGACTTCTTCCACAATTATGTGAGATTTTGTGCAATTATCTGAGGCTACAAATTGTCATTGAAGAATTATGTTCTTTTTTTTGGTGATCTCCAGCATAGACCCCTTGAATGTCAGTTAGGAATCAACTGTTGGGGTGATTGTTGACTGTTGAAATGGCAGATATAATAAAGCATGCATAATAATGAGGGAAAGAACAATCTGATTAATTTTTGTCCTGCATCATAAAACATGCTGCAGCCTTTTTTCTTCTGGTATGAAAATGCCCCGTATTTGATATCAAAATGTTTCCTGAAAAACGATCCTTGCTTTGATTGTTAAAAAAAAATATAATAATGAGGAACATTTCTCCTAAATTGTTTCAGAAAATATAATGTTCACTGATAACCTAAGAAGTCTCATACCACTCTAACAGAGGATGAAGTGTTCTGTGCAGAATGATGTGTTAGACTTCAGGAACTTCTCTGCAGTAAACACCAGAAGCAATACATCCCAAAGCGATTCTACCCGAGAGTTTGTCTTTGTTCGTTATTTTGGGAGAATAAATCTCAGCACTTTTTAGAGGTTACCTGAAATAGAAAAGACAACTGCTAGTTACAACGTCCACTTTAAAACAATAAGATGTTTTAATAAATGTAGTAGGTAGTCTCCTAATGTTCAGACAAACTGATAATTGCCAACCCTTTGCTCACCCGTCTCTCTAACCGAAGTTTGTTTATCCTAACAGAGACCTTTGACGCGAATAAACCTGGCTGCTTTGCAGGTTTATTTTCATTATTAAGGGCAGTGAAATAGGATCTTGGACCGGCTATTTGTCTGACAGGGAATGTGGACTGGGCACCCTCTAGCTTTGCGTGTGGCCTTCTCACCATGCGAAAAGCCTCTCTAATTCCCCGTCTTTTGCTCAGGGAGAGACTCGCCCTTTGTCAAACATTGATTCAGAAGTAGGCCAGGAGCCGAGGGGCTGGGAGCTCGGCTGCTCCCTCAGAGGAGCGAGTCGGCCCCTGGAAACTGAGCTGGAGAATACTGTCAGCAGAATCCAGCTGAAGCTGCTAAATGGATGTGTTATTGACTGAGCAGAGGTATGAGAATAATGTGCGAGCAAACATGGATTCTTATGGATGTTGAGTCAGAGATACTTCTCAGGATCAGATGATTTTTTTTTTGCTGGATGTGATGCAATAGTATGAAAGCAAATTTCCTGTTGATGAAAGACTAGATGTGTGAGAGTTTGTATGTGTGTTTCAAATCCCTGACTGCATCACGTCTCTAACATGTGCCTGTGTCGTCTGTGGGGGTCAGGAAACTTTCCCTTAAAGCCTTTCATATTTGGTCGAAACGATAAACATTCAAACATTTTTAGAAGGCCTCAAGAAAATACAATTCAATATTTAACAACAAATTAAAGAGAACTGTGGCCATTAACATTCATATATATGCATGGTGAGTTCAGTTGAAGAAGTTTTATTTTCAAGCCCTTTCATCAATAGCGTCTGCAGTAGCCACGGCTGGAGTAACTCCTGTGAACGGGAAACACAGTGCCAATTATAGATGCCATCTATGTGGATGAAAGTGATTGTGTGTACACGCAAAGGGAAATCTCTCAAGCCACAAAACAGTAACTGGCAGCGCAAAAGTAACTTCCCAAACTCTTGAAGTCAAAGGGGATCCTTTAACTGCTCACTCTTTTCTTCACGCTGCCTCTTTTGTCCTGTCCCTGACTTCAAATGTGCAGATTTGCGGCCCATGGGCGACTTAGATCTGGTACCGTTGAGGTGAAAAATCCAATTAACCTGCAGCTCCTGCTGCCTTCGTTATAATTCCCTCCCATAATTATGAAATTACCAGATGCAGTATTTCAAATGAAAAAGGATGAGAGCGACTGGCTTAGAAAAAAAGATGAAATAAACCATTCGCTGCCAGTATACAGAGTTCCAATTTAGCTCAAGGGGGAACAGCTAATTCTTATGACTGGGTTTGAAGGTGAGACCTGCCAAAGCCCCTGTAATCAGAATAAAAATATTCTGACAGAAATATTGCTATGGTTGGATCCTGAAATAGCCATACTGATTAATGAATAGACTCCTGCGTGTTATACTTTTGGACTTCTTAAGTGGTGATACAAATACATGGTATATACGCATAGATTATAGACAACAGTGCATCAAACAACACTGAACTGTGGGTACCTTAAGCTCTCTGGTGGAAGAGACTATTTCCTCTGAGAGGCCGAGTAGTAAAACTGTTTATCTGAGATATCAAGATGACATTTCTAGAATACACCTTACATTTTCAAATGCATGCAGAAGCACCCAACAGTTTAACAAATAATATATTCCATTGTTTAAGGAATGGTATGAGTTATCACACTGTATCCAGTAAACAGGGGAAATTCTTTATTTTTTCCGTTTACTTCCACTGCAGCAGAGAGACAGTCTCATAAGTGAATCTAACTTTCGTCTGATAAACTCATTGGCACTTGCTGGAGGGGCGCCTCAAGCAATAACTGCGGGATCTCCTGCTGTGTGCAAGCCGCGTCTGCAAGCCATCATAGATAACTTCCACTCACACAACACGTACTGTACAAAGAGACTCATGCAAACTAATCCATTATGCTGCCGTATCACACAGCATCAACACCTCTATTCAGCTGCAGGAGGAGGCAGAGAAACACATAACAACTTAATGGCCGCTCACCTAAACTATTTGCATCTTAAGAGTAACTGCTTCCATCTTTACACTCAAAGCAGCCTGGTTACTGTAACAAGGATGCTATTGGAAAAGGTAGGCGAAAACACATTTAACATTCAAATTGAAGTGGGATGGAAAGCTCTGGTATCTACATTTAAATGTAAGTGACAGAAAGTTTGTAAATGTTCCTTGTGGCAAGATAAGATTGTAATTCAGAGAAGAAGAAATGTAGTAGCCGCTTTCCAGTCCTTAAAAATCAAAGGATTAATAACCCATAAGCAGCTGTTTCTCCTATTATGGCAAGTGCACTGGAAGCCTTTACAAGAGCAGCTAATGCTAAAAAGTATGTATGAAAAGCTCACAATCATAAAGGGATTACAGGAACAAAGCAACACTGCTGTAGATGTTTGATTGCCAGCCTTTGCATCACCTGGTTTTTCCTCAGGAACAGAAGAACAAGTCCTAGCTTGAAGGTCACTTTATTCATTTTCAACATCAGGGAACCACTCCAGTTCGACTCTGCTCTCAACAGAACATCTTGTCCATGTTTAAACCAAATAAAAGAGAATGGATTGAATCTAAAACAACCTGCTCATGTGCTCCAGGAACATATCATGAATTATTTGAAGCTCAAAGGTATTTTTATTTCCATGAAACGTGTACCATTAACTGCATGATTGTGCATACAAGATTTAGGAGAAAAACCTTCAATTATACACTACATGTTCATTCATGAATTATACATGTTTGTGGAATCTATGTGCGGAAATAATAATCTGATTTTCCATTTCAGATGATTAAGGCATCAAGATCTATTGATTTATCTCTTACGGGGTCTCATCGAAACACCTTGCCATGGAACTGAAATAATTCTCAGTGGGACATGATAGGGATCCATAAAGCAGGTGAAGGGCCTAGCCCTGTGTTTATAATTGATAAGTAAAGGGAAAACAGCTGTAACCTTGAGTGTAGGTATGCATTGCAACTGGAAATTGATTCTGAGTTTCCTTGCTGGTGGCAAAGGTGCACAGATACTATGAAGACAAGACATAAAATATATTATGAATGTCTCTGTTGGACTGTAGTTTCTCATTAAGATGCAGAAGGGCCTTTGCAGAGGAACCTTGTCATGCTAATCCTGGCCAAGTGGTCCCACAGGCACCCAGCAAGTGAGAGCGAGTATACATCTCCAAGAACAGTTCTCTTCTGTGATCTTTGCCATATTACTTCCATTGCCTTTGTGTTGTCATTGTCCTATTTGTGTAGTAGTTTGTCTTAGTCAAATAATTGGTTAAGACAGCAATGCACGGCATGCTCCACTTCTCTTCTCAGGTAAAAGAGCACAGGAACTGATCAAGTCTGTCCTCATAAGTACATTTTCTTTTTCAAATTAGCAATGATTCAGCAGAGGTTACGATTGAAAACATGTTCTTAAAATCATTTGGGATCAGCCCATTTGATTAATGAATAATCACTTAGATCATAAGCTCAAATGCAATTAAACCTTTACATGAAGCAAAGAAACCGGTGCAACACAACTATGAGAGGAGTCTGGAAGAGGAATATACCATGCGCTGTGTAATTTAATGTCGACTGAACTGCAGGTCAGTTTCAATATAGCATGAGTGAAGTGTTGAGAGATCTAATCTTGTTTCATTTTATTAAAATGAGAACGCATTTCAAGGAATCAATTGTGCATTTTTTGATTCTTATCAACAGTTTATTTCATCCATGGCCAGCAGTACATGCACAAAGAATCCCATTACTGGCTGTGTTTGTAAGTATATATATTAGATTCAAAGTCTGCAAATTTCATTTCGATAACCAATTTCAAAAATGAGAAAGAGGCAACT